GGAAATCACAGATGAGGATGCCCGAAAATCTTTGTGGTTGCATTGGACGTAACGTTCATTGTATTGTTTGATAAAGCGTTCTTCAAAGATGAAATCACTTATAAAAATGGTTCTGAGACAGCGTGTCTTTTGACAGGGAAAAAGGAACTGTGAAAAACAACAGATTTTGCTGACGATACATTTCCAGGCAAACGTTGTAACAGCCAAGACGTCACCATCAGAATAGAGTTTCCTCGTCTGAGAAATTATCAATGAATTACGTGGTACTCTTCTGTTATATTCAAAACAAAACATATATCAATATTATGTAGGGTGAGAGAGATATTTAAAAATGCGATAAAAGACCTTATGAGCTACAAAAATGTTTATATTGGGTTGGCAAATAAGTCCTTTCGGTTTTTCTGTTTATTTTTTATGTCACAATGATACACTTCTTATCTGGTAAATTAATCCCTAAGGTGGATTGTTTATCCTGTTTGTAATATGTCAACAACTATATCTGTTAACTCCTGTTGAAACTAGCTTAGTATTGTATTTGCTATTGCACTGTAAATATGGAAAAAAATATCATTCATTTTCGGCATATTTTGTTGTATTATTTTAAAAAAAATAAGTGTACTGCAGAAGCTCATAGAAAAAGTTACAGTGTTTATGGGGACGACGCCTTAACCGAACGCACCTGTCAAAATTGGTTTGCCAAATTTCACCCACATGAAATTGAAACGAACAATGTTACGGCCATTATTGATCAAAATCCCACTAAATCAATGCGAAAGGTTGCTATGGCCCTAAATGGGTAGAAAACCACACAGGCGTAGAAAACCATTTGCACAAGCTCGGCTATGTTTCCAGGCCTTATGTTTGGAACATGATGTTTTTTTGAAAATCACAAAACATGTTATAACTTCAATACGTCTTTAACTATCTACAACAAATTTAGCAGGAATTTGGGGCCACATAAGCTACACAAAATGACATCAACAGGACCTCCGTAAACAAACTATAAATGGAGATAAACATCGAATTTGGAGAACATCCTGAAGAGTTATGAATGAAAGGGTGTTGTGTTCCACCAAGGCAAGGCTAGACCCCAGACCTCATCGGTCACTCGCAATAAATTATTGAGCCTTGGATGGGACCTTTTGCCCCACCCTCCATATTCTCCATACCTAGCTCCAAGTAACTACCACTTATTACAATCTCTGCAGAACTCCATGAATTAAAAGAAATTCCAAAACGAAGAGGAAATAAAAAAATACTTGGATCAATTTTTTTAACAATAAACTTCAAATATCCTATGAACATGGCATTATGCAGTTAGTGGAAAGATGGGAAAAGCCATTTCAAATAATGGTCAATATATTGTAGATTTTTTTTTTTAAATTTCTTTATTGAGTATTATAACAATCTGTCTGTTGGACATTGGTTATAGTGAGGTAGGATGACATTCACACTATATGTACAAAAAAATAAAATAAAATAATAATCAAAAGTATATACAATAGACAATAAAATAAAATAATCTAAAAAATAAGAAAATCTAAAAAATAAGAAAATCTAAGAAATAAGAAAATCTAAAAAATAAGAAAAAAAAATTAAATAAATAAAAATAAATAAATAATAAATAATAATAAATAAATTTTATTTTTATAATACATTCAGTTTTATTTCACTCTGAAAAACCGAAAGTTCTTATTTGCCAACCCAATAGTAAAAACCAAATTTCTTTATCACTTTATATAATTAATTATCGAAAAATCTCTATTATTAACTTTTTTTCAAAAATAAAAAGTGTGCTAATGCAATTATATTTATTATTATTATACACAGGTAATCGAAAAAAGTAAATTAAGAAAGAATGATATATCTTTCCCGGCTCTCGGGAGCAACAGATTTTGAAAAACGAGACGTCAAAAGAAAAGAAATTTCGCGAAGAAGAGACGAATTCCATTTTCGATATATCGATTGTTACTACAACTTCAATAAAAAACATCAATGAAAGCAGGAGGTTTCAAAATTTCGAAGTAAGAGTACCTTCTTTCATTTCTTCTGAACCATGCTTTTTAAGTACTTAAAACATAACGTTTTCAAAATAAAACGTAATTCTTAAGAGGCTCCGAAGTGCTTAGGATACTTATCACGTGTTTAGATTTTTAAACACCACTGTATTATTATTTTGCAAAAAAAAACTAAGATGTGTGCTTTAGACAACACGATATAAGTGAAAACATCAACAAGACGAGATTAATAATATGAAATATAAATTATAAATAATAGCTCATTACAAAGAAGATGGAATGTTGAACATTTTCCTCTCTAACAGTATACAAGTCCGATTTTTAGTATCTGAAATATTTTAATCCATATGTTCAACTTGCTTCGTTATCATTTTCTTCATATCTATTCATTTTTTTAAATATGGCTAATTTTATTATATTGATAACATAACTAGAATGGATGATCAAATAATAGGCTAATCACATACTCTGTTGTAATTTTATTAAAAAATAACATATCTCCGCCATTTTTTGGCAAATATTAAAAAAAATCAATTTTTTGATATTCCTCTTACTAAGGATTACAAAAATTATTTCTCATTTGTTAGTAGTTACAAAGTTATAAGGGAGTGACGGAACTAAAATCAAGAAAATTGCGCTTTATATATAAATAGATCAATTTACAGCTGATTTATCATTTTTTATTCAGGTGAACTTCGATGGAATATAAAATTGGATTCCTTGCCGATTATATTAGTACTTTTGGAATTCAAGAACGATGGTTTTTTACAGAGATATGAGGAAAAACATAAAATAAGACAGAAAGTGCTAGGTGGCCATCTTTGAACCTCCATTTTGAATGAAAACGGATATGGAATTGTAGGGAATTTTTCATGGTTCGTTCTACATTCAATAAGAAACTAATTCTCGCAATTACAACCAATTATGAATTTTCTTGATATCAAATCCTAAATTTACTGGTGATAAATAAGTGACCAAGAAAGGTTTTTCTATAGACTGATTATGTTTCGTGGTTACCATAGAAACGACGTCGACTTTTAAATGAATGAAGGCTAAAATAATAAAAAATTAAATGGAGAGTAAATTTTACATTAGTTGTAAAACTATGTTATCGAATTCCTCTCATATATAATCCAAAATCCTTCGTAAAATTCTTAAGTTCCTTATGTTTTTGATTAGGCCCAATCCAGATCTCTATCCTTCCATTATAAACTTCAGAACCATCCGAACCCTTTCGTTTCTAACCTTTTTTCCTTTTCAATCCCTGATAACTCTCAGAGACGTCTGAAAAGAAGATGGCATCGTGATCTCCTAATTTAGAAATTTTATAAGACTGCTACCAATGGGTAGTTTCTCTATAAGTCTTTTCATGTCATCGTATTTCTCTGAATCATATTTACTAGTTGTATATTTATTTTTATACAGCTGTAAATTTCACGACTAAAATAAAAAGTTGAATAAAATCTGTAAATTAATATAAAACTTCTATTGGCCAAATTATTAAATATTACGTGTTTTATAGAACATCGGTATTAACATTTTGAAGAACATTAATAAATACTTAATTTATAAAATATATTAAAATTAAGGTTAATATCTTGATATGTTTGAATCGGCTATTTATACTTTCGCTGGACATCACTTAGATAGCAGAATGTTGGTAGAATCGATTTTCTGTTATCATGACATCAAATCGATTTCATAAATAATTATCGTCCAGTGTTTGGTTTGTCCTAATTGGAAACGTCCTGGTTCATTCAACTTAAGTTCGATTTTTTTATTTTATTTTATAAACTATGTTTAATATTATATGAACCTATTTATTATTTATTTTTATTTGGATGGGGTTATGGTGAGCTTTAACGTGCAGAAGGACAGTTCTTTAGCAGTTCAAAAAATTGCAACGAGATGGAATAGGTGACCAGTATATTGCGAATGTAGAACAGCTGATTAAAAACTAAATAATTAATAATACAGTTGTTTACAAGATTATTTTTGACAAATATATAAAGGTATGGTCCGAGAGCCCGAGAGAAAAAAACGACATTATTTGATGAAATCGTTGAAAGCATTTTTTAAAAATATTGATAACGTATATATTAAAAAAATGAGAGTATGCCAGTTGGATCTTGCTCTCTTTAAAAATGGCGACTAGTTTAATGAATATCATACCAGTAATTTAAGAATCGAAATGGAAAAATCATTGCGAAAAAGGTGGGAAAAGTTTTTGTTTTTTTAACTTGTATACAATGGTTGAGTCATGTAAAAAACAAATTTCCTAACGCAGGCCACCAAGGAAAAACTTTTTACAGCCAAAAAAGCCAGATGTGATTTTTCACCTATAACTCCTAAACGGTACACAAGCGAAAGACGTACTCTTAAAGAAATTAAAGAACTTTAAATTATGCATCCAATGAATACCTAAACATAATTGTTTGTTTTATAAAGGAAGGAGAGAGTCCGGGGCAAAACTATTTTATTAAAAGCCAACGTTCCGACCCGACTTTGCAGGTCTTCTTCAGGGAGATGTGTTCAGCTAGGAGTTTCACTTAGAACTCAAGTGTACTGAAGTTCTAAGTGAAACTCCTAGCTGAACACACCTCCCTGAAGAAGACCTACAAAGTCGGGTCGAAACGTTGGCTTTTAATAAAATAGTTTTGCCACTATTTAGCCTATTTATGACCGCCATCCCGGATCATCTCCTTCCTTTATAATGCAACGGCCAACTATTATTTTTTTTGTTTTATGTTTATCGCGACCACGACCATCCTCTAAATATAATTACTGAATTAAAAATATAAAGTAAGCTCCGTTTTCAACTAAAGAATTAAACTTCAATGAGGCCATATTGTTTCTAGTACGTCAGGCAATTCCCCACAACACAGATCACCCTCCGCCATTTTCCTCATACATCACCCTCGTCGTTACCTTCTTTCCTTAGAAGTGGGGATTTTTAAGATCTTTAAAAGCTCGGCAGACTGTATGGCGTGTATTCAGTCCCCAAGAGGAATCTGTAGAGTTAACATAAGTATTTCTGTGTCTTAATTGGATTTAAAAACAAGTGAGTACATCTTTTATAACATTAATTCATAACAATATTTTCACTTCATGAAAAAAATAATAAATTTGAAATTTTATTATTAATGTTTGTCTCTTACACGACTTAAAAAAATACCACATAGAAATTCTCAATAAAATATAATTAATTTTGATGAACTAAGCTGATAAGATTTCAAAAATGGCGGCAAAAATTACATATATGGTGCTTCTGTCTACCATCGAGTTCACCTACTAGAATATAATCATATAATTTCAAATATTATATATAAAATTAAATTAATTAGCGATAAATTCAAGTTCGATTAACTTATAATATAAGGTGTAATAATAAAATAATCTCATATTTTAGATTTTTTTTTTTGTTGATAAATTATTTTTATTTTAATTTATAAGCTCAAACTTTTCTTCTCGATATAATAATCTTATAACAGATTACATAAGAGTTACAAGAACAAATCCGAGTTACAAAGAAAACAAATTCCGAGTTACAAAGAAAACAAAAACAAAAGGTGATTCCAATTATTGGACTAAACTGTTTTATCTTTAATCATTAGTAATATGCTAAAAAAAAAATAGCATTAGTTCAGTAACACATTTAAAATTTAAAAACCAAACCAAGGATATAACATTTGGAGTAGAACACATTTAAAAAAACCCGAGACCATATCTTTGCTCCTAATTGTCCGAATTTAACGATTTTTTTTTTGTTTTTTAGGAAATTTCGTAAACTTTTAAAAAACCAAAAAAGTATAAACTTTTCGAGTTATTCGGAATTTAATTTTACCATCCCTCGTAACTTTTTTTCAAGCTTCTTTTCGCTGAAGTATGTTATATAGATAAATTTGAAGGGCGTCGAGAAAATGACTTTAGCGAAGTTTCATTGAAATCTGTACATTCGTTTAGGAGCTACAGTCTATAGCAATGCAGGTTTTTGGGCTGCCATTTTGAAAATTAAAGGCGGAGAGTAATGTCGATGAAGAAGGATCATCCTCGGGTGACCTCTGATTTTATATCAAAATTTGAAAAAAATCGGTCCTGTAGTTTCGGAGAAAATGCTGGGACGGCGGACTGACAAAAAAATTGTATACGTTTTTCGAATTATACGCGTCTTGAAACGTGAAACCTCAAATTTTGAGAGGGAGTTATGTTTTTGAATTTGTTGGTCGATCACAATGTTTCATTATTGAAAATAATAAACCAAGATTAAAAAGAAAACAGAAATTCACAATAAACTATTCCTTTCTTGGATTTTTTTCGAACAAGCTTGTCTAAAATTTACATGACTTTGATTTGATGCCAATCAAATTTTTACATGAAGTTATCCATATTATTTTTGGAAATTAATCTTTGCTTGAATTTAAAAAAAAAATTTAATATTTAATTTCTCTATTTGTAATATAGACATGAAGATAGACAACCATAAGTTAAACTCCAACGGAGTCTCCAATGGAAATGATGATGCTGATAACATCTCACATCCCGATCAAAGTTTCGAAACAAGAGCTATCCACGCAGGTCAAAGTCCTGACCAATGGGAATCAGGAGCTATTGTTCCTCCCATCCATACAGGATCGACCTACAAGCAAGCAGATCCTCAAGAACACAGTGTAAGAATATTATAAATATTAAGAATTATTTATTTTTCTTATTCTTACATTATTAAAAATTTTATTGTGACTTGCAGGAATATTTTTATGGAAGGATCGGAAACCCAACAAGAAGTACCCTAGAAACTTGTATTGCCAGTTTGGATAAAGCGAAATACTGTCTAACTTTTGCTTCTGGCCTTGCATCAATCGCAGGAGTTGCTGGACTTCTCAAAGCTGGTGACCATGTCATCTGCGGAGATGATCTTTACGGTGGCACTCACTAGTATGTATCATCCCTAACTTCACAGATATTTAGTGAAGATAAATAATTTAAATCTACCTTTTTTAAATTATTAAAACAATGATTTTTTTTTTTTTATAAAGCTACTTCAAGACAATCGCTAAAGATAATGGTGTAGAAGTAGACTTCATAGATACCACTGTAATTGAAAAATTGGAGAATGCCTTCAAACCGAATACGAAGGTATTTACATTCAACACATAAATTGATTTACTTTTAATCAAAATTCAATACAGTCTTATTCACAGAATTATGTTTTTGTAGATGGTATACATTGAAAGCCCGACCAACCCTCTTTTGAAAATCATGGACATTCCACGTCTTGCCACAGCAGTTAAATCTGAATCTCATGATATATTATTTGTTGTGGATAATACATTTTTGACACCTTATCTTCAGGTACAAAAAAAATCAATACTTCAGTTATTTAACTGATTTATTGTTTATGTTTTTCTTTAATTCATATATTTATTTCTTTTTCAGAATCCTTTATCAATGGGAGCTGATGTTGTTGTTTATTCACTAACAAAATACATGAACGGCCACTCTGATGTTATCATGGGCGCCATAACTACCAACAGTGATGATTTATATAATAAATTATCTTATATTCAACACAGTATGTATATTTAAGAAATTAAATTATAAAATAGTTCTTATAAAAATATTAAAATTGAAAATAATTATTGTTTTTTTCTTCTTATAATTCAGTTGGAGGATCCGTTCCTTCTCCTTTTGACTGTTACCTCATGAACAGGAGTTTGAAAACTTTGTCAATACGGATGGACAAACATATCGAAAATGCGACTAAAGTTGCCCAGTTCTTAGAACACCATCCTCTTGTAGAAAAAGTTCTTTATCCAGGTAAATTTTATAATTATATTAATTATTAATTAATCTGTTTATCGAGCTGAAAGAATATTTCTAATAAAATGATACTTGTTTTAATACAATAATTTTTTTTTTTTTCTAAACAGGTCTGGAATCTCACCCACAATATAAATTAGCTAAAAGATTATGGCATGGACCTTCTGGAATGATCTCGATATTCTTAAAAGGAGATCTGGAAATGAGCAAAGCGTTTTTGAAAGCTTTAAAAGTTTTCGCTCTTGCCGTCAGCTTAGGAGGATTCGAATCACTTGCTGAACTACCGTAAGAATCTAAACATTTATCTTTACTATTTATCAATGTATTTTTTTCTTTTGTTGTTTATTTAGTAATTTACAGAGAAAAATATTTACTATAGCTCTAATTTATATTCTTGTGCCCACAGAACAACCATGACACATGAAGGACTTCCAGCAGAAACAAAGCAAGAATTGGGCATCACAGACAACCTGATCAGACTGTCCGTCGGCCTGGAATCAGCAACAGATCTTATCAAAGATGTTGACCAAGCACTGAAAGTAGCTGCAAACTTCTACATTCCATCCTAACTTAGAATTTTAAAATAATCCTGCGATCTGAAATTTGTGAATTTAATTTATGTTTTAATATTTATTTTACTTTAATATAATTTATTTATTTATTTTTCTTATTGAAGTGATTCGATATCATTCGAATTGCCTAAATGAGACCTAAGTCATTGAGATTGTTTCTTCCTTTCTAGCTAATCCTTGAATACTTCTAGAAAGTGAAGAGAAAATGAATAATATAAATATTAAATTATTTCTCATTTATAACTAACTTGAAGTAAAAGATAATTGTTTTAGTCATTAATGTTCTCCTATTATATCAGTTCGCTATTAGTTTTTATATGCTAATATTATTTTTAATTTATAAATAATTTATTTTAAGGATTAATGAAAATGTATTATCACTAAACAGTATTAGTATTGCTAGAATTTATATTGTATAATTAAATTATAAACTTTCAAAAATGTGTCAAAACTATTTTCTAATATACTTTTAATTATTGTGAATATTGGAATGCTGATAATATGAAGCTCAATAAAGAAATAGTAACATAAAACTTTTTTTTTTTTTTTTATGATTTTCTTTTCATTCCTTTTTTTTCTGACCTGTTACTTATTATTAGCCTAGTAATTAGTCTATCATTTATTTGATAACTTAAAAAGATATTAAGTTCACTAACAAGTTACTTAATTATCCGAAAACAAAATTAACTATGAAAATATTAACAAGAAATAAATAAATATTAATATAAAAAAAAATAATAGTAGCAGAGAAGTCGTCTTACCACTTCACACCTTTTATTCTCTAATAACATACGTTCAATAAAAAAATAAATAAAATTAACAATTATTGTAAATCTAAAAAAAATTATGGATCAGCTGAAAAATATTGAAGTTAATAAAACTCTATTTCTAGTTCTCAGGGTGAGGGGAGATGAGAAGGGTGAATCTCATGACATTTAAAACTAATAAGATCTATGAAATTGTTGGAAGTTATTATGTCTAAAAATATAGAAAATGGATTCGCGGAATAATGAATCATATTAAATAAGTAACAATAGAGTTATTTTATAAATAATAATGCATATGAGAGTAAACAAATCTTAATTATTACTAATCATAAACAATAGCCAACTCATAAAAAAAAAATTTTAATTAATTAATAGTCTACAAAAATATAGATATACTAATATAGAGAGGGCGATCCTTTTCCCCACTAAAAATGTTGAGGGGCTAGAATTTCGTTTGGCCCTCCTAATAGTAAATAAATAATAAATGAAAAAATAATTTTATTCTGGAACTACTGTCCCCTAAGAATAATAACAGAGTTACAAATTTATGTATCTTAGTCTGACTTAGAATAATAAAAAATACAAAGTAATTAACTGTTAACAATTGTGTAGTAGATTGAAATTAAGCAGTGTACACATGCAAGTAATTTTACATGTTTGCGGAAGTTTGAATGTGGAGTAGGTGGTGGAACAAGATAAGTTTGAAGGAATTTGTGGACGAGGATTGATGTATGGAGGTAGGAAGAGAGTTCGAAGTAGCATGAATGACAAGGATTTGCTGAAGAAGTTTTATGGGAGGGGATATATAAGTTTATAGGTTGAAACCTGGTATTAAGAGAGTGGGTAGAGGATCGTAGAATAAGGAGTTCCAGGATGTAGGGAGGGTTTTTGGTTCTGAGGACTTGGAAAAGGAAAACACCAAGGAGGAATTGTCGTCAGGGAGTAGGATAAAGCCACTTCAACTCGGTGTACCGAATGATACATGTGAACGCCTGGGGATCCCGAAGATGTATCTTATGAAACAATTCATGAGTTTCTTCAGTCTCATTTCTAGCCTCCATACATAAAACAGCCGTAGTCGAAGTGAAGGAAATATAAGGGATGTTACAAGGAGCAGTCTAGTTTTTAAAGGAACATAATCATGGAATCTAAGGAGTTGTTTAAGAGCTGTTATGGATTTTCGAGTAATCAGGGAAATATGATTATACCTGGAGAGATTCTGGTCAAAGGTTACTCCTAGGTTTTTGACAGTAGGAAAAAAGTGGATGGGGCGGTTATTGAGATTAAGTAGAGGAAAGTAAGGAAGGGAGCTAATGAGATGTCTGGGCCCAATGAGAATAGCCTAAGTTTTGTTTGCATAAATAAATAAGCTACATGAATGAATTAAATGTGTAAACTAGAATCGATTAAGAAAAGTCGACTCGCTGACCAGGCTAGCTAAGGGTATGTAACTATTCTATTGATACTTAAATGTTAGTATTATTTAAATTTTAATTTATATTCAAAGATAATAATATATATCAACATATCATAGGGTCTTATGATTCAATCACCCCTCAATTTTCATGTGATATTCTTATCATGTATTTGGCGGCAAACTAGTCCTACTATGAAAAACTTTATATTTTTGTTTAAAATTGTACACACTAAGAAATCAGAGATTTTTTCCAATTTTTAACATTATTTATTTTTAGCTGAAAAAGTTCTAGAAATTTACCAATGTTATGAAGGCTGTCTCCTCACTCTCCTGTGTTTAAACAAATACGTTATATATTCAAGTGTATTTTTCTTTTTTAGACATTTTCAAGTATATGTAATAAGTAAAATAAAAACCCTTAAACCATAAAAACATATAAAAAGTTTAATTTTAACTATTCAATATTATATTTGTTCGTTTCACAATAGTTATAATGAATTTTAGCTCATACTAAAAATTCTATCAATTTTTTTTTTTTTTTCCATAGCCCCCTCCTATCAAAATTGAAAATATGCGCCTATGCATTTTTTTTGGTACTACTCAGAATAAAACCGTAGTAACATTTAATATTTACAAAATAACAATTTCATCGTCTTAGAGACGAAACGCATCAATTAATCAATATACTCAACATGCAAAAATGTACCTAAAAGATGGCTAACAGATGTCTTGATCTAGACACTGGATGTAAAAAAGATTGGTTATACGCAGTTTTTAGACCTCTTCAAGTCATCCTAAAACAATGTCAAAAAGACATCTGGCTAGAGACAAGCAAATATAACTTTATCCGAAAGGCATCTAAAAGCTATCTGAAATATGTCGGAAAGATATCTTTTTGTCATTCTAAAATGTACATTTGAAAGACATAATTTTGAATTCATCAAAGAGACCTTTAAAAAAGATTGAGTGTTTTATTAGAAAAGTAAATAGAAACGTATTTGTTGAAATATAATTAATTTATTTACAGATATATCAATGAAATGCAAAATATTGACTTAGAATATAGGAGCAAATATTATATTATTTCATTTTCTTCGACGTGTTTTTCGAGTATCCGACCCACACCCAGGCTTTGTAACCATGGTTTTATAATCACGATTTTACAATTTCCATCATGTTTCTATTTATTGCTTTACCCATACTATTGGAAACAGTATCTAAAATCATAAAATCTATAAATAAATGATACTGTTGATAATGATGAAGATAGCAAATAAAGCATTAGTTGTCAGTTTTTCATATCTTTTTCCATTTTTTTAATGATCTAAGCCCAGCGATTTTATATGCCCATTCTATTCGCCTCAACTTAATTACCTCAATTATACTAATCGGATACAGTTCACGCAATTCAGCGTTGTGTAACCGCCTAAATTTTCTAGCTGACTCGTCCTTTTTTGGTCCGAATATTCTGCGCAATACTTTATTTTCAAAAACCTTAAGACATTGCTCATTCCTTAATGTAACCGGCCATCCATAAAGAACCGTAGGAAGGATAATGGTGTTGTAAATTCTAATTTTTATGTTTCGGGACAGGAGGCGAGAACTAAGTAGTTTTGAAAAAGAAAAATAACAGCATTTCCTTCAACCTAACTTTAATATCCTCTTCAATTTCGATTTTCCTAGTTATCGTAGATCCCAGATACCTAAAATTCTGTACGAGTTCAAACATATTCCCTTCTATATCGATATCATAGAAATTGTAGCTGTTTTTGCAGCTAACCATTTATTTTGTCTTATCCGTATTTATCTCGAGTCCTAGATCTTCAACGGCTTTCATCAAAGTTGTTATATTTAGTTTTATTGTTTCCATGTCTTCGCTTAACAGTACCAGATCATCAGCATACCCAAGCACGGATATTGTTCCACCCAGGTTCAAACCTTTTTCGGTATGTATCATCTCTCTAATGGCATGTTCTAATGCCAGATAAAATTGGACAGGTGAAAGAAATCACCTTGAATTAATACCGAACGAACCTAAAATTTCTCGAATAAATAATAACCGATTCTAAATTTATTAAATGTTTCTGTCAAGCACACACTAACTAAATTCACTAATTTTTTTGGGAAACCCAGCTCGATTAGAATATTATACAGCATCTGGCTGTCAATGGAATCGAAAGCCGTTTTGAAATCGACATAAAGCTGATGAACAACGCCGATGTACTCTAATTTTTTCTCTAATATTTGTCGAAATGAAAATATTTGATCGATAATCGAAGGGTTCCGCCTAAACCCACATTGGTAGTCTCCGATAATTTCCTCGGCGTATTCCGTGATTCGATTAGTTAAGATTAATGTGAATATTTTATAACATAAAGGAAAGAGTAAATTTACACCTTTTTTATTTTTTACATCCTGATACTTTGAATATTACTGCACCATTTAATGTTTACAAAATAACGAAAACATCGTATGAGAGGGGGAACTAAATAATTGAACAGTAAATCGAATAGTTTTGACTAAATATAAATAAATACATTAAATATATTTAATTCAGTAATGTATTCTATGATAAATGACTCAATACAACTAACCCATACGTCAACGAAATCCCCTCGCTACAACTCATAGCGTTCCATTTTCCTTCTACACGCTTGGACTTCCTTCTTTCCTGACGACAGTGGGGGGTCCGCCTGGAACTTTATAAGCTGGATATTTTCTGGAGAAGCCACTCAGTCTAGAAGTGAACTTCTCAGTGTGATTGTGTTCTGTGCTTTCAACAGTTTGGAATAATATTCAAGTAAGTGACTTTTGCTTCCATTAGTGATTTCGTTTATATTTCATCACATTAAAGAAAACATAGAGAAGTCGGGTAATATTAAATTAAACTTTATTTATCGATATTCGAGTTAAAATCCATAGAATTTTATTAATATTCCATAAATTTTTAAAATTAAAAATATATGTATGGTTCCTTTTCTAAAAATGTATGTGTTATGGGGTTTTGGAGATAATGTGCTGCTATCTGTGCTAATTTTGGGAACTAAACCTGAGATGGGATTTTTTTTATGTTAAAACAAACTTTTTATTCTGTTTTTCACAGTAATTTAATCACAACATTAATCACAGTGAATTTTAACTTAGATAATAGAGATGGAACAGGGATGCCCATGAGCGAGTTGCATGACCCAAATTGTGCCATCAAAATTTTAGAGGAGGGTACTTATTTATGTAGTTATAAATTTTAAATTTTTTTTTTTTGGGGGGGGCACATTGTTATCTGGTTATGAATTTATAAGGGGGAGGCGCCACTTTACAGGATTATGAATTTTTATAGGTGATCATATTTTTGAGAGGTTCCAATTGAAGAAAACTTTCAAATCAAATAAAAAAGGAAAAATTGAATTACAATTTTACTCTCATTTGCAGCATTTTTATAAAAATCATGGCAATATATAGTCTTGAGGAGGATGGGAATCCCTTACTTGTTTAATTAAATCCATTATTAAGTGTCAAATACATTTTATTGTAAATAAATAAAGCCCTATCTTATCCAATAATTTACCATATAACTAATTGTTTTTCTCATATTTTTCTATTAACATTAAATAAAAAGTTAATTTCACTAAATATAATTTGATTAGCATTATTCTAATAGTTTGATTATGTTTTTCATAATAACTTTCAAATAATCTAGCAAACCCTAACAACTGTATAAAGTAGTAGGAATCTAGTTGTGCCTAAGGACTTAGCTCAAGTGCTGCTACCTTTTGTAGATATTGTGAATTATGTTTATATTATGTAAATTCATTTTGTTTGGACTTCTTTTAATGGTTAAAAGAAAATTAACAAGATTTCTATTAAAATAAATAAACCATAAAGAATTATTTAAAGGTCAGTAATGTCAGTAATTTAAAAATAGGAATGAAACCTTTACCAGTAATATAACTAAATATAATTAGTTTTATTTTAAAATACATAAAACCGTATCTAATAGTTAAGCAATTGAAACAAATAATCAAAATTTATTTATTTTCATACTACATCTATTCATTAATCTTTCTTTGAAACAAAAAAAATTAAACTTGAATTAATCCAATAGAATGAAGATCGATAACCAAAAGGAACATTCAAATGGAGCCCAAAATGGCAATAACCCCGATGAGTTCTTCTTACATCCTGATCAAAGCTTTGAGACGAGGGCTATCCACGAAGGGCAAAGCCCGGACCAATGGAAATCGGGAGCTATCGTTCCTCCTATCCACACTGGATCAACCTTCAAGCAAGCAGATCCAGAAGAACATAGTGTAAGTAATATATTCTCATTATAATGAGGACAAGATATAAATAGTTTCTTACAATTAAAATTTAATTGTATCTTGCAGGAATATTTCTATGGAAGAATTGGAAATCCAACAAGAAGTGCCCTGGAAACTTGCATTGCAAGTCTCGATAAAGCCAAATACTGTCTAACTTTTGCTTCTGGTCTCGCATCAATCGCTGGAGTAGCAGGACTTCTCAAAACCGGTGATCACGTCATCTGTGGAGATGATCTTTATGGTGGCACGCACAGGTATATATAACTTTTTTAATCTTAATATCATTTCTTTATGATACAATCATTTACGCCTAAAATGAATTTCATAGGACTTAATGTAATATATATTTTTATTTTCTATAAAGCTACTTCAAGAATATCGCTAAAGATAATGGTGTAGAAGTTGACTTCATCGATACAACAGTTGTTGAGAACCTGGAAAATGCTTTCAAACCAAATACCAAGGTATAGTACATCTGAAATGCCAAAGTTACTATTATAATTTTTCATAAGCACTTATTCTACTTAAAAATCTGTTTATTAATTTTTTAGATGGTCTATGTTGAAAGCCCTACAAATCCACTTCTGAAGATCATGGACATTCCACGCCTTGCGGCAGCTATCAAGTCTGAATGTCAAGATATCATATTTGTTGTGGACAATACATTTTTAACTCCATATCTTCAGGTGAGAAATAGGTTTTTATCCATAATTATATCATTATACAGCAAAATCATGATTGTACTTATTCTACTATATATGATTTTTAGAATCCTCTTTTGATGGGTGCCGATATTGCTGTTTATTCACTGACCAAATACATGAATGGTCATTCTGATGTTATCATGGGAGCTATCACTACCAGCGATGATGAATTATACAAAAAATTAGCATATATTCAACACAGTAAGTCTATTAATGAAGATAAGTTTAAAAATAAATTCCTACTAAAATACTAAAAAAATATTTTATTTACTCTTCCAATTCAGTTGCAGGATCTATTCCTTCTCCTTTTGACTGTTACCTCATGAACAGGAGTTTGAAAACTTTGTCAATACGGATGGACAAACATATCGAAAATGCGACTAAAGTAGCCAAATTCTTAGAACAACATCCTCTGGTTGAAAAAGTCCTCTATCCAGGTAATTTAAGGAAATCTGGTATTTCAAGAATCACTAAAGAAAAATATATGTTTTACTTAGACATTTAATATTTATGTATTTCACAGGCTTGGAATCTCACCCACAATATAAATTAGCTAAAAGGTTATGGCATGGTCCTTCTGGAATGATCTCGATATTCTTAAAAGGAGATCTGGAAATGAGCAAAGCGTTTTTAAAAGCTTTAAAAGTTTTCGCTCTTGCTGTGAGCTTAGGAGGCTTCGAGTCACTTGCTGAATTACCGTAAGATAATCAATTTTAATAATATGTATAATTTTTGATGATTGGAATTATGTTTTTACGACAAACTTATATCAATTATATCATGATAGTAAATATCAATTTTATGCTTATAGGACAACAATGACGCACGAAATAGTTCCTGCTGAAATAAAAAAAGATCTGGGCATAACAGACAACCTGATCAGACTGTCCGTCGGCCTGGAATCAGCAACAGACCTTATCAAAGATGTTGATCAAGCACTGAAAGTAGCCGCAAACTTCTACATTCCATCCTAATTTAGAATTTTAAAATAGTCCTGCGATCTTAAATTTATGAATTTAATTTATTTTTTAATATTTATTTTACTTTAATATAATTTATTTATTTATTTTTCTTATTGAAGTGATTCGAATTGCCTCGATGAGACCTAAGTCACTGTGAGTTTGTTTCTTCCTTTCTAGTTAATCCTTCAATACTTCTAGAAAGTGAAGAGAAAACAAATAATATGAATATTAAATTATTTCTCATTTATAACTAACTCGAAGTAAAATATAGTCATTTTAGTTATTAATTAAATTGTCATATTAATTTTAGTCATTGATGCTCTCCTATTATATCAGTTCGCTATTAGTTTTTATATGTTAATATTATTTTTAATTTATAATTAATTTATTGTAAGGATTAATGCAAATGTATTATCACTAAACAGTATTAGTATTGCTAGAATTTATATTGTATAATTAAATTATAAACTTTCAAAAATGTGTCAAAACTATTTTCTAAAAAATTACTTGATATACTTTTAATTATTATGAATATTGGAATGCTGATAATATGAAGCTCAATAAAGAAATAGTAACATAAAAACTTTATTTTTTTATATTTTTTTTTCATTCCCTTTTTTTCTGATCAGTTACTTGTTATTAGTCTTGTTAGATGTTAATCTATCATTTATTTGATAACTTAAAAATGATATTAGGTTCATTTACAAGTTACTTAATTATCTGAAAACAATATTAACTGTGAAAACCATTAACATGAAATAATATAAATATAAAAAAAATTAATACTAAGTTTTGTAACCACTTCACACCTTTTATCTCTATTAATGTAGCATATCTTCAATAAAAAAAAAAATAAAACTAACTATTATTATAAAACTAAAAAAAAATTATGGATCTATCAGCTGAAAAATATCGAAAGCTAATGAAAATGTATTTATAGTGCTCAGGATGGGAATAACGGTGAACATGAATCTCATAGCATTTAAAACTAATAAGATGTGTGAAATTATTAATTATTTAGGCCTATTAAGTTATTATGTCTAAAAATTTAGAAAATGGTTTCCCAGAAAAATTAGATTTAATACTGGAGAACAATAATTTACAATTTAACAATAATTAAAGTAAACAATAAGTAATAATAATTTATTCAAAATAATATATAGATTAATAATAACATATAGACCTGTGGCGCTCGGTAGGCACTAGGCGAATCCAGTATTTAATTTGAAATAGTTCAGGAAACTAATTGCCTATATCAAATAATGTTTAAGTGATTCTTGAAGTCTTATTAAATATAATTACACGAACAATAATACTTTTTTTACAATAATAATAATTTTTTTATATTTTTTTCATAACACATCTTATTATTTTGGGAGGCTTCAGCCCGAAAGTCCCTCCCACCCTTGCAGATCCACCTATGTCGGTAGATAAATATCATGATATATATTGTCTTTATTAAATTATGGATTAGACCTAAACAGTTAATATGATCACAAAATCGAGAAAAAAAGTTGCTTTACATAAATATTGGGCCGTTTGGTGTGACATTCACCACCAAGATGTCAAAATAATAAGGTCATACAGGACTAAGTGCAAAAATGAACTTAAGGCCTCAAAACAAGAAAAAATTTCCTCTGAAGGTATGCCCGCAAAAGTTTTGTTTAGGAGATATTCATACCTAAAGATTTTCTTTTTTATGAATTATTTATGTAATATGAAATTAATGAAACTTGGAATATTCCACTTCAACTGAGAAGGGACACGTGGCTTCAATCAGATGGTTGTCCTGCACATTATGGAGTAAAGCTGAAGAAAACTTTTTGTGATATTTGATCAATTTTAATTATTGTAATTAGTTTATAAAGCTTTAACATCATTGCTGTTTCAATAAGTAGTTTATTAGCTGGAATAATACTATGATAATTTACTAGTCCGAGAATCCTACACAAGGCTTATTTAAGTTTGGAAGTAAGCAGACGCAGTCGCAGAGAAAAATAAAAATAAATTTTTTTTATTTTAATGTTTCTCTGCGGCTGTAACCTCTAACTAATTTCCTGACCATATTATCTTCAATCAACTATTTCTCCACCAATAAGACTTATTTTAGATTATCAAGAAGTAATCGGACATTATAGTTCAATTATTTTATTATACAGCTGGATGATATTATGGATGATATGTAGAGGTCCATGACAATGGATAAATGTTAATTATCCCAATCAATGCATTGGTCGTGGATCAGTGGACCAGTTGCTATGCCTGCACGCTCTGCAGACCTAACACCACTGGATTTTTTTGTTGTGATATTAAACAAAAAGTCTATGCAAGTCCGGTCAATGACTTAATTCCTTACGAAGAAGGATTATTGAATCTTGTGATACAATAACACATATCTAGTGCCGTTTTGTCACTGCTGCTGTTGAAGAAAGATACTGAGCCTGTCTTAATTCTCAAGGAAATCTCTTTCAACAACATTTAATATGAATTTAATGTTGATATTTAATTAGTAAAGTAGTTTAATTCATAACAATGAAAATCTTTAGGTGTGAATATCTCCTAAACAAAGTGTTTGCGGACATAACTTCATAGGATTATTTTTTCATATCTTTTAATTTTTATTTTTCAGGAAGCTTCTGTTTATATATTTTTCTAGGGTTAAGACACTAGCGGATCCAGGATTTAATTTTGGGGGGGAGGGGCTTTAGCCCGAAGGATTGTTTATATTTATATATAACGATAATTAATTTGAAAAAAAAAAAGAAAGAAACTAACTACCCTTATGACATGGTGTTTTAGTGATTCTTGACGTCATATTAAATGTAATTACATGAACAATAATAGTTTAAGAGATAGTGTTTAATATTTTTTTCTATAAAACATGGTCATATTTAACCATTTTTGGGGGGAGCCCGAAAGTCCCCCTCTGCAAATCCGCCTGTGGGTTAAGGAAAATATACTTCCATTTTTCTTAATTTATTTTAATTATATCTATTATATCTGACGTTTCGGGACAATTTTCCCATCCTCAGAGAATTCCTTATGTTTACTGAAATTATATATATTTAGAATGATTTATTTTTACATTGTTAATCTACTCTATCTATTGTATAATTATCTAACTTGCTTTTGTGATGTGGCACTAGTTATCAAAAATAGAAAAAGATTATTTTTTCTTGTTTTGAGGTCCTTAATTCATATTTTCGGTTTGGCCACTTAACCCTGAAACACCACCTATAGGCCAAATGGCCCAATATTTTTGTAAGCCAGCTTTATTTTTTTCGATTTGATAATCATGTTAACTTACGATTCAAATAGAAAGCAAGTGGGTATTCGTGAGTTTTTAGTACTTCATTGAATAGATAAAGTTTGACTGTCTCCAGATTGAAAGCCCCCTCATTCTAAGAATTTACATAAATATAATATTTGTAGGTTAGGAAGTGATGAAGTTTATATATGATGTTTTAAGCGGATGTTAATAAAAAAAAAGGATCTGTACCACAGACTATTTTCTTTCTTCTTAAAAAAAAACAAAGCTTACAAAGGATAATTTGAAATCATCAGGTTTCTTTTTTTTTTTTTAGAAATATTAAGTTATAATAATAACTTATATATATATATATATATATATATATATATATATATATATATATATATATATATATATATAACTTATATTATAATAAACAAACTATCTCAAATTGGTTTAGATGAACAATACACCATGAATAAATAAGGAAATTTCTCAATAAGGGGATACTTTGTAGTTGAAGATTAATAAAATAAAAATACTGAATGAAAAAAATCTCAAATAATCCATGGTATTATGTAAAACACTAGTAGTTTAGCCACTTCAAAGCCTTAATTCAAGTAATTTTAGCAATAATATATAAATTCGACTTATTTTAAAAGAAGGTAGGGTTTAGTTTACTATGCTGCAATTGGAAATCACTTAAATCAAGGGCGGATCTACGGGGGGGACGGATGACTTTCGGGCTGAAGCCCCCCAAAATTTTAAAATATAACCATGTTTTATGAAAAAAAAATGTTAAAACATTATCTCTTAAAGTATAATTGTTCCTGTAATTACTTTTAAAAGGACTTCAGGAATCGCTTAAACACCATTTCATATAGGTAGTTAGTTTTTTTTCTTTTTTTTTCCAAATTAATTATCGTTATTTCTATGAAAAAAAAAGCGCTTTCAGGCTGAAGCCCCCTACCAAAATTAAATCCTGGAATCGCTCGTGTTTCAAATTAAATAGTTTTATTTTAGTTATCAATTACTATTCAACGCAAAACATGACACTTCAGGAAAAACAAAAGACATTCTTAAATTTCCTGCTTTACTGCGGGGAATCGAATGACGGTTTATACTATACGATATGAACTTTTTTGTAGTTTTTGATGTCTACCAACACAACTCTTTAAACATTTAACAATTTTCAGGCGACACATAAATATTTTTAGTATAAATGAATTTTTTTTATATTCGCTCAAATAGAATTGATTCGACTTAAGTAAATTTATTTTCGTATTACTCGAAATCTGGTAAAATCAGTTTTCGTCGTCCACATTTTTGTCGGAAGAAGAGATTTCAATTTAGACATTATTAAATTTAGCCTTTTCAAAGAAAATTTAAGCACTTCATTTTTTATACATCTTGTACTCAGAATACAAATGTAGCACAATTTAATGTTTAGAAAATAACAATAACTTCGTTTGAGGGAAGATTTTATTGCTCAGACTCATCAACTTAGTAATATATTCAACGAGCAAAAATGTACTTAAAAGATGGCTATTAGATCTCTTGATCAAGATAAGGGATGTCAAAAATATGGCTTATGCATCGTTTTTAGCCCTCTTCAAAGCAGGCTAAAAGAAATGTCGAAAACACAACAGATTTGAGATACCCAAATATAACTTCATCCGAAAGGCGTCTAAAAGCAGAAATATCTTTTTTTATCCTAAAAAGTTCATCAGAAAGATATAATTTTGATTTTGTCAAAAAGATT